TCCCCGCCCCCCCTCTCTCTCTCTCTCTCTCTCTATAGCCCTCTCTCTCTCTCTCTCTCTCTCTCTCTCTCTCTCTCTCTCTCTCTCCAAAATTAAAACTCACCCACCCCTTAGAGCATCTCCACTCACAAGGGCTATATCTAGGGTAAGGGCAAGCAAGGGCTGTCACTATTCATGTGAATAGTGTCAGCCTTGCCATTTGTGGTTCCACCCATGAGGGCTAAGTATAGGGCAAGTCTAAGGTAATTACTATTCACTTAAATTTATTTTTTATTTTTTATACTTAAACCATTGATTTTGATAAGCTTTTCAGATAAGATTTTCAATTCCCAAGTGTTAAAATTTATGGTAAAATCCTCACCTAAAAATCAAGATAACATTTTCGAATAAAATTTTGAAATTAAATTGGTGTGGAAAGTGAATAATATTGGTAGGTATGTATAGAAAAAATTTCCAGAGTTTTTTGATATTTTTTTGAATTTTTTTTAGCCAAAATTGGACAACCATTGGATTGTGCAAGATTTTTTGATCGAAGGCTCCAGGAGAAGCCACATGGCTTGTAACCATTAGGCAATGTGGGCTAGTGGGCCCAACAGTAAAAAAAAAATTGAAAATTAGCTGCTGACGTCAGCAGCCCAAGGGCAACAGCCCAGGCAAGATTAGCCCGTGGGCTTGCCCAGGCTGGTGGGACCCAGTCCTTGCCCGGGCTCATTGTTACGCGCTGGAGGCAGGAATGGTCTGCGAGGGGGGCCTTTTGCCCAGGTTTGGTGCAGCGGTGGACATGCTCTTAACATTGCAGTAACCCCATCAACCCACCTCTCTCCATCTCTCAATCATCTTCTTCATTATCATACAAAAAGCAGACTGCTATGAAAAAAGTAGAAGACCCACTAATTTCACCACAAAAAGAAAGAAGACCCATGTGTATTTTCTGAAAAATAGAAGATCCAGTGTGGAAAAATGACGAGCTTGAAATAAATGGGTGAGCTTGAGATAAATGGAAGATAGAGTGAAGAGAGACTAAGAATATTGCTCGGAGATTGCAAAATGTGTTTTCGCATTTTCATTGAAAATACTGAAAACGTTGTTTTGTTGTTTTCAACTTTTGTACGTGAAATAGAATTCATTTTCACAATTTTGTTTTCCGCGTTTTCTCACCGTGCCTACCGAACGCAATCTCACCTATTTTCATTTTGGGAAAACAGAAAATGGGCCCGTAAAACATTACCGAACGGGCCCTAATTTAAAATCATTGCAGAACTTCAGGTGGGGAAAAGACAAAAAAGGACGGAGGTTAATAGAGCAAGTTGTCGGTTGGTACTAACTATTTTAGGGAAGAAGAAATCAAGATTATGGAGAAAACCAAATTGAGAATGTTGGATAAATGAAAAACACAACCAAAAGAATGCTAGAGTGAACACTCAAAGATCATAAGAGAGTCAGTTCTTCTTCATAAAAGCCAAAGGCTGAACTGTTAACTCAGCTTAGGATGCCTTTTCATCACCATATATGTATGGTGAGGAGTATGCATAAGAATAACATGGAAAAAAATATATTTATTTTAGATAGAAAACACGATGAATGCATGAACTTAAATTTTATTATACTCCACACATGAACCCCAGAACCAAGCTTGGAACTTGTGCAGTATGTGTTGACAGCATTTAACACGTCGAAGAATTTGTGTGATGGAGGCTGATCCGCGTCAATGTGTTACACCATGTGTTTTAGCTTTTTAATAAGCATGCGTACGTCCTCCAGGTCTACCATGCATGGTATCTGCAGGCAGATGTATGATCTTCTGCAGGGCGCGAGTGAGAGATCATGTTATTCATTAATCAAATCAACAAGGACGTTTTCTAGGTTATTCTACAGTACTGAGCTGGTAATTTATGCATAGATTTCATTCCACTCACACCCGTCCTACTTATGCATCAAGTGTGTGTTTATCACTTTTTTCCTCACACGAGTTAACATGTAAGTATTTTTTAATTTTTATTTTTTTTCCATAAGGTGAGCAACATATTATATTTTATGCTTGTGAAACTTGAATTGATCATGGAATGCGATTTGAGTTGAGAGTCGGCCAGTATTAGCTTGTTATATTGCAATTATTAAGGGCTCGGTGCACCTTATTAACTACAACTAATTGTAGATAGGATATGATTATGTGCTTTATAATATGTGTTGAGAGTGTGAATCCAACATCGGAAAATTAATAATAATGTCTTACCGAATAGTTTCGAAGGTCCTTGCTCGATTTCAATCTGACCTAGCAGTTACCTCCCCATTAGAGCTTGCTTACTGCGAAATACAAAAGAATACAAAGACTTCTTGCTCCGTAGCCATGGACGCTGCAAATGCTTCATATATATATGCACTGACCAAAATTATTTAGTAAAATACTTGTGCAAAAAACTACTTACGATCATAATGAAGTTGGGTAGAAATTAAATGAGTAACGACATAAGATGAGTACTATACACAGTATAGTCAGTGTCGTTAACCAATTTGGTAGAGAAAGAGGTTGACAAGACGACTCATGGTAAGTTGGAACCTACAAGTCACTCACACTCACATGGGCTGGTCTCCCCCAAATTTAACTCCACACCGTCATCAACGCAACTTTTCCTTTCTATTTCATGCCATTTCAATGTAAACACCCCAAATCTTATCCCCAACACTAATATATAATAAAGTGAGCTAACGTACCAAAAATACCATCAAACATAGCTAAGTCTCTAGACCAAAGAAAAATTAAGCACAAACACAAACATGGCAAAATCTAGAACTAGTAGTGCTTGCAAGAAGAAGAATAGCATTGTCAAGCTCAAAGTTGTAGTAGAAAAGCTACAAAGAAGTCTATCTTTGGGAAGATCAAAACCATCAAATTATTCCGATGACTCAACACGTGTGCCGGAAGATGTGAAGGAGGGTCACTTTGCTGTAATAGCTGTGGATGGAGATGAACCAAAGAGATTTGTGGTGGCCTTGAGTTACTTAACACACCCAGCTTTCTTGAAGCTATTGGAGCAAGCAGCTGAGGAGTATGGTTTTGATCATGAAGGCGCACTCACCATTCCTTGCCAGCCACGAGAGCTTGAGAAGATATTAGATGATGATCGGCAATGGCAGAAGGAAGAAAGAGGCTCCTCTAGTGATGGGAACTGGGGTTCTTGTAAAGCTATGGTGCAGAGCTATTGATCATGAACAAATTTAGTTTTTCATATATATTATATATATATGTCTCTTTTCTGTACCTCTGCCATCTTTTACATGGTGTATTAGATTAATTTGTTTTCATTTCTCAATAGTAATTTGCCCACGAGCAGAGGCAGAAATTTTTTGCCATATTTTTCATGGTGTTGGACTTGTTCTCTCATTTCTCAATAATCTGTCAAGGGAAGCCAGAAATTTCTTCTTTACTTTTCTCTGAAATAAAGCCATATATATAAATTTTACTAAAATCATATATAAACCATTTTTTAGTGTATAAAACCCTTTTTGTTTGATTTGGGGACTCAGAATTTTTTATATGAAGGACAGCTAAAAGGTTACAAAGAAATCATCCAAGAGGAAATGCTCAATTTAGGGAGGAGCTGTTAATGTAGGTGGCTCGATACAAGTCATGATGTGTAAGTCTCACATCGAATAATACAATAATAATCTACAGTTCAAATATAAGTGGTTCATTCTTAATTTGAACAAGTGAACTAAGCCGAACTGAGTCGAAAAAACTGTGTTGACCAGAAAAGTCAACCTCGACTCAAAAACCAAACTGGACCATGTTGAATCAGTTCCCACTCGATTCTTACTATATTAAAAAAAAAGGCTTAAATGCTACAGTGCCCCTGGAACATTGGTCAATTCTCACTTTACCCCCTCAAAGTTAAAGTGACCCACTTTGCCCCCTTGACCAATGTTTCGTGTTTCACTTAACCACTTTCCGTCAATGCCATTCCAAATTCCGTTAAACCAATGATGTGGCAAGGGTTGTTTGGTCCATTCAATTGATCTGGGATTTTTTTCCACCAATATGAGGGTGTGACGTGTACATGTGGACCCCACCTCTAACATCTGATATAGCTCAAACGTTCCAATTGATCTGAGCTGCCTATCGAACCAAAAAACCCAAATTGGCTTCCTTTAAAACCCTAGAAATCAGAGGTTGGGTTCCACGAAAATTGAAGATGAAGACTGAAATAGTTGATAGAGGCGAAGAGTTAGATGTGGCGGCACTGCATTGCTTTTGTGGGAAGATAGCTCGCTTACAAACTTCATGGACTGAGGCGAACCCACTTCGAAGATTCCATGTTTGTCCAAACTCATCAGGGGTAAGTTATGTTGTTGAAAGTTTGTGAATCCGGTTAAAAAATTTTATTAATTGGTATTAATGGTTGATGCAGAGGAGAAAAAAGGATTTGGGTTTTTTGTTTGGGTGGATCTTGAATTTCCACCTAGAGATAAGGCTCTGGTGAGTTGGCTACTTAGAAGATTGAAGGAACTTGAAAAGGACGTTGGGCATCATCAAGCAAGATAAAGAAAGTTAATGGGTTGGCTTATTCTTTCATGGGGTTTAGTAATGGTGATGTTGTTTTGGCAATGTCTGTAACAACTTGGCACAAAATGTGGCCATTGCAATGGAGGCACAAAATGTGGCCATTGCAATGGAGGCACAAAATGTGGCCATTGCAATGGAGGCACAAAATGTGGCCATTGCAATGGAGGCACAAAATGTGGCCATTGCAATGGAGGAATTAGGCAGATTGTACAAGTCTGTATTTTGCAACTGTATGTAAAATATCATGTCTTGGTAGCTATGTAATGATGGAGGAACATGGTTTGAATTTGCAACTGGATGTAACAATGTATTGGTCCTTATGTAATGAATGTGGTTGTTGAACACAATGTGGGAGTTACTTATTGGATTTTGACTTCATATGTAATAGTATGAAAAACATTACCAAATCAACAGTACCACAAACACTTGCAACAGTTCATAACAGACAATCATGGGTTTTATAACACTAATCAAATCCTCACAGTTTATAACATTACTAATAAAGTTCTTAATAATTGGACTTGCAAAATAATAGTTCAATCAAAAGCCCTATTTTAAGGGCTGTCCTTAACACTTGTCCTTAACAGTTGTACATGCAAAACAAAAGTGGAATGAAAAGGTCTTCATAAGAGGCATTTTAACAAAACACAAAATACTTGCACATGATCAAAATCTCCAAGGCTGATAACCATCCAACAAATCCTTCCGATTGGTAAATTTCTTCCTCTTGGCAAGAGATTTGAACATCTTTTTGCTTGGACCACTAGCAAAAGGGTGTGATGAGCTTGCACTTGATTAAGATCTTTGCATAGTTTGAGAACTCTGGGCTGGTTGAGAATTTTGGCCAGTTTGAGAAACTGGACAAGCTTGCACATATTCAGTTCCTTGCACATATTGAGAGCCTTGCAGAGTTTGAGAACCATCCTTCTTTTGGGGAAATTTAATCCTCTTCGCAGGAGACTTAAACCTCTTTTTTTGAAGCTTGCAGAGTTTCTGAAGCTTGGCCACTTTGAGATGCTTGGGCAGTTTCTGAAGGTGGGGCAGTTTGAGATGCTGGGGCTGGGGCAGTTTGGGAAGCTTGGCCTGTTTCAGAACAATGTGAGTTTGAGAACACTGGCCAATTTCCAACCTTCTTCTCACCTAAAAGTTGAAAAGGATTCCAATTTACATCAACTACATCTCATACCTCTTCCTCTTAATATCAATAAAAATAAAGTCACTTACAGGTTGCTTGGCTGTTGATTGTCTTGTAACCCTTTTGATTGATGTCTTATCTTGGACAGATTTCTTCACCTTTCATTTACATGGGAGCTAATATAAGAAGAGAATCACTTGAAAATAAATAAATAAAAAAGATCCAAAACAAAAATGCATTGCCAATGTCTTTTTGGAAGAGACAAACCTGATAGCTGCTGCCTTCTTTTGCCTTAGGGCAGCTCCTCCTATTATGGCCTCCTTGTCTACAAAGTGAACACTTGGTTTCCAAGTTATACCTCTGCAACTTGGTGATTGTAGGATTAGATTTGCTTGGTTGTTCACCTGCTGACCTCATCCTCTTCTTCCTTGGTCTCCCAGGTTGTTTATGATAAAGTGGTGGCATCAAAGAAGGTCTATGACACTTAGGCCACAAGTCATCACTTGTCATTGGATGAACCATTGAACTATAAGCTCTCATAAAGGCCTCTTTCTTGTAATAAGCATCAACATAAGCAATATGATCCTCATTTAATTGGCCAATTGCAGCACAAGCATGCTTGCATGAGATCCCAGTAATATCTCATCTCCTACATGAAGAACAATGCCTTGCCAAATCAACCACAACCTGCCTTCCATCATGGTTTTTGACCTCATATAAACTCTCCCCAGCAAGCTTTGGAATACATCAAGCTGATTCTTTCTTCGTTTTCTCCAAAATCCCAAAAATCCTTGGACCAATAGCATGTTTCCATCTCTCACAAGATGTTCTTCCAGTTGCCATCAACAACGTAATATAGTATCTAATTCTCTCTAGCATGGTTAAAATAAGTTTGTCTTGTACTTCTACAAGGGCACCGTTAAAAGCCTCACACATATTATTCAAAAGGATGTCACACTTAGAATGAGTTTTAAAGTGAGCTCTACACCATTGTGATGGATCTAAGACCGCCATCCAATCAAATGCAGCTTGGCTCAGCTGTCTCATATTTTTCATCTCAGCATCCCACCATGGGATGGTTGTGCTCTTTGCAATTTTCTCCATTTGCAATTTCAACACCAATCCTCTTTGACCAACAAGCAAAAAATTTGCTTCTAAATGTTTGAGGCAGTGTATGTGCTCAGCGTTTGGAAAATGATCATATACTGCATCAATCAAGCCTTTTTGCTTGTTTGTGATAAAGACATATTTGCTGCTGTTTTCGATTCCAATGTCTTCTGCCAACAGTTGACAAAATCATGACCATGTTTCATAATTCTGCACCTCAGCCACTGCATACGCAATAGGATACATGTCATTGTTAGGATCCACACCAACAGCAGATAACAATTGTCCCTGCAAAAACCCTTGTTTAACTACAGCCAAGCAAATGTAAATCCTCTGAAACCTTGGCCTTTCACCCTCCAACTCACATTTGATAATGACTGTGCTACCCACATTTGTCCTTCTTAGTTCAGCAGCATAATCCCATAATAATTCATATTTTTTTTCATAAGTCCCCTCAGATATGGATGTTGCCTTCTGCCTTGTCCTATATATTTGGGATTTAGAAGCTATCACAGACAAATCTTCTTGTACCTGCTGCTTAAAAGTTCCCATATCCCAATTATGCTTTCTAGACAGTTAGTAGCATATCTCTGAGCTAACCATGTTGAGTTAGCATGAAAGTTGTGATCAATTTTCCCACAATCATGCTCATCAACTAATTTCTTCACTTGACTCATTTACTACCATTCACTGCTGAAGCAAAACAAACTCAGTTACAATTTCCTGCACACACTGCCCTCACCCTATCACGATCATTGCATTCGAATTTAATCATCCTCATGTTCACAATTGAATAGTTCGTAATTACTTTCCTAAATAAGTCAGTGATTGCAAACCTTAAACTCAGCTTAAACACAGGGTTGCGTATGTCTATTTCAGGCCTAAATTCTTGAAATTTAGGCAATTTCTTCTTCCTTTTCTTCTGGTTCCCATCATTCTCATCATATATGAGCTACTATCCAAGCTCTCAACATCACTTTTAGCTACATCAGTTGACTCCCGATCTTCATCTACAGGGGCATTTGGGTCTTCAACTACTTCTGGCCGGTCTACATAATTTTCAAATGCTTTATCATCCTTTGTCAATAACTCACATTCATTTTCACTCTGCTCATAAGCACTGTTAACAAAATCAGGGTTCTTTTCCTTATCTTCTTCTTCACTGTCTTCCACATTAGTGTCACCTATATCAGCCCTACTACCCTCATTGTTCAGGGGCCTATCATCATCACTTGAAACCCAGTCTTCAACTCTGCAAGCAGGCCCATGATCCTCAGTAAAAGGCCGGCCCTCTTTATCATTGTTCAGTGGCCCACTGCCTTCAGTAGAAGCTCCATTTTCATCACTAACAGACCCAATATTCTCACTATCCTTATTCAATGCCACAGCTACCTCTTCACAATCCTCATTCACTGCAACACATTCCTCTTCAAGGTGTTGTACATAAATCAGCACAACTCTCTTATAAGAAAGTGGTACCTTATCACACAAACTTAACAGCTCAACATCCCTGTCTATATCCAATAACTCATCATTTACTACTTCTTTAAGAGATACTATCCTCATGTGCCCAAGCAGT